TCACATGGACTACGTCCTCGAGCGCAACCAAGACTGTTTTGACATTGTCAATGATAAGCCCCGTATGCCCGCGGAACCTGCCTCGAGAGAAGCCAGCCCGGACGGCAAGGTTCACCGGTGGGAAGATCCTCGGTTCCGCGAGGTCTTTTGCATCTGCCGAAAGATCGAAGCTGGCATGATGATAGAGTGTGAGCTTTGCCATGAATGGTGAGAACTCCGTCTGTGACTCTTTTGTTCATTGCTAACACGTTCAGGTACCACGGCAAGTGTCTCAAGATTGCCCGCGGCAAGGTCAAGGATGAAGACAAGTACACCTGCCCAATCTGCGACTGGCGAGTCAAGATTCCGAGAGACGCTGCGCGCCCCAAGCTGGAGGAGTTGCTCGGTTGGTCCGATAAGATTTCAAGCCTGCCCTTCCAGCCCGAGGAAGAGGAGGTTTTGCAGAAGATCATCGACAACGCCCAGGACTTCCGGAACCACATTGCTGGGTACTGCAACCCTGTTGTGTCGACCGAGTCGGAAGCGGACACCCAGCGATTCTACTTGCGCAAGATTGAAGGTGCCGAGATCCTCCTCGCCTATGAGACCAACTTCTTCAGGCAGGAGCTGCACAAGTGGTGTCCCGTCGCGCCAAACCCACCCCCCGTTCTGGAAGTGTCCAAGAGCACCCGAAAGCCTCGTCCTACGAAGCTGCAGAAACTCCTGGCCCAATACGGCGTGGACGACCCCGAAGACCTTCCGGAGAATATGAAGGCCAAGGCCGCAAGCCTGAAGCGCAAGGCTCAAAACGCCGAGGCTGCTGCAGCGGCTGCCGCTGCCGCTGCGGCCGCTTCTGCCTCTGGCGCAACCGTCATTCCCGGCCTCCATCAGTCGTATAATCGCAAGTCGGAGCACTCGTCAGCAACGCCTCCTGGTACTTCTCACGGCAGCGCACACCGTCAATCAATCGGCAGCAAAGACGACCCCATGGATATTGACAGCGGTCCGACACTTCATCCTGGTCTCTTTGGTGGCCGCGGCCCTCAGCTTGTCGTCGACAATGCATCAATGTCCCTTGAAGAGCGCCTGCTCCAAGGCCAGGAAGATGGTCTTAACTTGCACACCGAGGCTGGGAAGAGTAAGGCTCTCGAGATCCTGCGCCGGACCGAGGTTGGTCGCAAGCGGGCCGTAGAAATGTTCGGCCCCGACGTGTTCAAGGGCGACGTTGGCATGTTGAACGGCAGGGAGGATGCCCCTCGGTCACGAGAGGACGAGGTGGCGGTCAACAGGATGTTTGACGATTTGACGAACCAAGACGACGAGAAGAAGGAGTCCTTTGACGGACCGATCACAGCCGAAAGCCTTGAGAGCGAGCGAAACGGCATGGACGCCTTGCTCGACGGCGATTAGGATTTGCGCGTTGCTCCTCCCCCGCCTCCTTCGCGGGTGCAATACCCCTTCTCTGAGTGCTACCGCCCGGTATTTCGTTGGTGACGCACCGGACTGCATTGGCGTCGGGTGGCATTTGTTATTTGGGAGTTTTTATTCTAGGCGGAGAAAATCTGTATGATCAGGAGTCTCAAGGGTACGGCATACCACTTTGCATTAGATTAAGAGGCGTTTGAGATGCAAGATGCATCAGTTAGTTGGCGAGCTTTAGTTGTTCTTTGCGTGGTCAGAAAAGTTCCGACATGGAAAAGTAATCCGTTATAATGGGACCTCGACTTGGTGGTTCCGAGAATTGACATTTTATTCCTCAGTTTATGCTTGACAGGATGACGTTCATTTTTCTTGTGACGGTGAAGAACTATCGATTGACTAGGCTGCTCTCGGTTACTCTCCGGCAGTAGCATCTGCGCAAGCCTTGCAAACGGGCGAACGAGCGAAGACGAGACAGCCCTTGGGGTACAAAGAAAAGAAACAAAAACAGCCAAGAGAGTGCTTGAGAACTGACAGCGAAAGGCTGGGTGACTGACTGGATCGCGAAAAGGACGAAGAAGGTGTGTGCAAGGCTATCTAAGACAAGGATTGAGCCGAGTCTCTAACAAAACAGCTGGGTTCAGTCGCCCGGCTAGCTCAATCGGTAGAGCGTGAGACTCTTAATCTCAAGGTTGTGGGTTCGACCCCCACGTCGGGCTCAATTCCCGTCAGCGATTGACATCCAGCGCTTCTTTTTGCAATTTTTCTTGAGTTTCTTCCTCGGTGAGATTGGACGAAGAATGAAGCTGCAACAGCTTTTTGGGCGCTGATGGTATATAATGAAGGATTTGAAGCAAAGTTTTGGAAGTTCTAAGACGACAAGAATTTCGGTCTCGATGCTCCTCGACAAATACAGAAAGTAATGAGGGGTTAGGAGCATGGGATGAGACGCGATGGGAACTTAATTCAAGAAGAGTGTTTCTTCAATTGAAGTAGCGACCGACTGGATGTGTGTTCCTTGCTCTTCTCTGTCCGAACTTGCCAGCGTCTTTTGTTTGTTCCGGTAGAAACAGAAGGGGCCGTGAGTGCGCTGGTGATGTCTGGGGGGGAGAAGCGATGGCGGTCTGATAGTGGTACACAGGCGCCTCCCAAGACCATCTTACCCGCGAAGTCGCATGCCTCAAGTCGCATATTCTTTGTGTCACCCCAATTTTTTTTTTTTTTTTTTTTTTGGCAACTGAAACTGCCTTGGGGGATTGGAAGGTTATATATTATCACCTAGAATGAAGCCGATCATGCCATTAGATGTTCATTTTGGCGAGACTTCTAGGGTGCATGTATCGCGCTGCTGTGATGAGCATAAAAGGGCTGGACCGGCACTGCGCAGAGAGCTCCTTATTGCAGACAAAATGAAACAGGTTGGTTAATAGCATCTTGTTTCATGTGCGAGGCACCAGGCTAGAATTCCTGTCTGTGTGCGTTCGATAGCTGGAGTCGTTCTTTCCCCTCTGGCGATGATGCTGCCTTCTGGCGCCGATGGTCGCCGGCATCCTCCACTTATTCTGGCCACATGCAGTTTGATGTCGATGAAGCCATTGCCTACAATTTCGGGGTTGACCCTCTGCCTGCTGCGCTTGTGGACGCTGCATCATTTGTGTAGATCTGATCCACAAGATTTTCTCAACGGACCGATTTGAAGAACAAGAGAATCTCGTCTGCAGTCTGTTTATTTGTAGTTCTGCCGTATCCTCCTCGACTCGTCGTTTCGGCGATATCCAGGTGCCTGCCCTGGTTTCGGCCAGCACGACGGTATATAGGACGCGCGCATCTGATCCGTACGGAATTCACAAACCAAGTCCATGGTGCCGTTTTCAATTGGTAGTACGGATGTTAAGGTTCATGCCTGTCTGGATGGACGCAAGAAGCATATCCTTCTTCGGCCGCCTACACGTCCCCAGCTCAAAATTTGTCCAAGGATTGCGAAGAAGGACCCGCGGCGTCCGTCATGGGCATCATCCGTTGCTTATTCCACCCTATATCATTGGGAACGCGAGTGGAAAGCACATCAGAAGTATCAGAAGTATTACGATAAAACTGGATCTTTTTCATTCGCAAAGTTTCCGTCAGGCAACTCGAGGCTTCTTTCCAAAGAGACGCGCAGAGCACTCGTATTTGGCGTTCAAAGTTGGAGCTTTCGCGCGACGGGAGGGGAATTTATACGTAGTCGTGACATGATGATGCATTTTTCTGCCTGCCGTGGGTTCATCGACTGTGGTGGCCACGGCCTGATGGCATATGCTTGGCTGCGATCGTAGAAGGTATTTCTACAGGTCCGTCCTCAATATTGAATGCCCGGCACAATGAAGCCGATGGTTCTTGCGATGTCAATGTGTAGGGTCGAGGCATCAGTTGCCATCCACAAAGTCGTTGTCCATCGCGAGCGATCCTTCCTCCAGAGACGTTCGGAAGCCATGCTTGCGACGGGCCTACCACCGGCAGTGCTCTTTCCCGTTTATCCGGCCCGGAATACGAGACGGGCAACGATAGCTGCCAGGTGCGACTTCGCGCCGGAGATTCGGTGGTCTTGGATAAATCATTTTCCTGGCCCACGGGGCGGTACATTCGGACATGGTATTTCGGATGTCGCGAAGAACGATACATGATCAAAGGATCATTGGTTTGGTTTATTGAGGGTAGACAGACATCCCAGATGCAGGTCATTTTATACGTATCGCCTGCGAAGTGTGAAACCTTTTGTCGTCGTTCGGGCGCGCTGGAGCTAGCGCCTGCCTTACGCTGTGCCAATATTCCCGCGGGTTCGTGGGCAAACATAGCATGAGGTGCTAGCGACGAGCATGAGGTGCTAGCGACGAGCGCAAGCAGTTGTCATTTGACCAGGCTCGCATACTGCCGGCGGCTCTCCTACGGCATAGTACGCACATCACAAAAAAAAAGTCATCAGGCGAAAGTATGTAGATACCCATAAATGAAACGGTTTCCAGACGGGATTCAACCAGAACCGAGATCAACGAAAGGATCCATTCCCAGAATTACTCTCTGGTCCCCCCATAGCCCAAAGGCTTACCAGCAGTGTCTTTCATCAGCTCCAACCCTTCCCAAGGGAAGAGCTTTCGCCATTAGGTGTACTGCGGCGGGAGGCCATTATCTATCTGAAGAGAGAAAAAGAAGAAGAAAGGGAAAAGAACTCCTCCAGGTTGCTGGCGTTTTGAGGCACAGCCAGAATTTTTCGGGTGGTCTGTGCTTCGATGCGTGCTTAGCTAAGATATGATCCACCCACCTTGAGCACCTTTCCGATGGCCAGGGATCACGTGGGCACTGCAGCTTAGGAAGTAGTCTGCGCTGATTGGTCGATCGCAGCCGAAAAGCCGAGGGGATTCCCGTGTCTGGTCGGGTTCCACTGGAGCGCCTGCTGCTGCCATTGAATCCTTGGGTGTGTCTGTGGGAAAGCTTGACATCAACACTTTTTTGCAGCCTCACCCACGCCCGAGCCGCTCCAATCCCCCGCGAAACGAACCACCCGCGACCGCGACCCGAACTTCGATCTTAAGAGCAACGAAACGACTCGAGTACATTCAGCCAACATGATTGCGCAGCGGGTGGGCGTGTCGGCCCTGCGCCGAGGTGCGTTTACATCATTGAAGTCTCCTGCGGGAAAGTTCGAGGGGAGAACGAATTGCTGACGATGGCGATTGGCATGACAGCGGCAGGAAAGCCCTCCGTCTTCTTCAACTCCCAGATTCCCAAGGCCGTCGTCGCCTCCAGCATGTCCACGACGCAGATCCGGTACGCAAACTACTCCCCCCCGTCGATAATCCCTCGAAACTATTCCCTCACACCCAGAGCCTGGAACCTTAAAACCTCCAACACATGTGATTCCCCCACGAACCACGATGCTAACCCTCCTGCCCCAAACAGCCCCGTCGCAACCGCCAAGGTCTCCGTCGCGGACGGCAACGAGATCCTCGCCAAGCAGCGCCTGCACCGCCCCATCTCCCCGCACCTGACAATCTACAAGATGGAGCAGACGTGGTTCGGCGCCTCCATCTGGACGCGCATCACCGGCGGCGGCCTCTCCGCCGCCTTCTACGTCTACTTCGGCACCTACCTCGTTGCGCCGCTGCTCGGCTGGCACGTCGAGGCCGCCTCGCTCGTCTCCGCCGCCGCCGCGGCGCCCGTCGCCCTCAAGGCCGGCCTCAAGTTCCTCGTCGCCTGGCCCTTCACCTTCCACTTCTTTAACGGCATCCGCCACCTGACGTACGACTTCGCGCTCGGCTTCGCCAAGCCCGAGATCAACAAGTGGGGCTGGGTTATCTGGTCCACGTCGCTTGTGTCGGCGCTCGGTCTGGCTTTTGCGTGGTAAGGGGGTAAGAAGTCGGTTTTGGGTTGAGGGGATGATGGACGAGGGGTGGTAATCGGGGACGAGGAAAGAAACGCAGGAGGGCGGAAAGTGTATGTGTGTGTTGATGGTGGGAGACGGCGATTGGAGTTCTGATCGGATGGCACTCTGCTGGAAGATTGTCTGGCGCAAGGCCCTCCCCCCTCTGCTTAAGGCGGGGGGATTGTATAGACTGGAAGCTGTAAAATGAGTTCCCTTGAGTATCAAACAAGTTAATCCATTGTTCCCGTTCACGAAACATGCGAGTATTGGTGGCACGCGATCGACTCCGAAGTTCGGAGGGTGAGGGCAGCAGGACCGAGGGTTAGAGACCCGTGATCAATTATCTACATCAGGTCGCAAACTAAAGTGGTATGCCTCCTAATCCTGTTTTACCATGTCCATCCCAAACGCCGATGCGCCTCCCAGATATTTAATCACTCGAATGTACCCTCACATTGATCTCGGGGTCATCGGTTGACCGTGTACCACATATCGATCCTATTCGATGTTTCGGGCATCCAAAATCTGTCGGATCACCCTCGAGTTCCCTGAGCTGAGCACACGAGCGCCGAGAATGGGGCCGATAAATTCGTTGAGCTCAGTAGCATAGTTGTCGACGCTGCCGTTCACGCCGTTGACGGGGGTCTTGTCGCTCTCGGCCATGGTGCTGATTGCTTTCAGAATGCCACCGACCAGCATCTCAAAGTCGATCCCCTCGCCCTTCTCCTTTAACGGCTGGAGGATGTTGTCGTGGTACGGCCTCAGACACTTAAGCACAAGCACCCGTACCGCTTCAGGACCGCCAGCTGACGCGACACCGGAGATGGCGCCAAAGTGCGCAGCGGGGGGCTTATCAGGGTCCATGAAAAACTTCAGACACGTGCGCACGAGCTTGGGTCTGAGGAGGTTGTTGGAGGCCGAGTACTTCCGCGCAATCTCGCCGAGCAGCGACGCTGAGAACTCGCGTAGCTTGTACTGCTCCTTCACCGCATCAGAGCCGTCCTCGGCGCCGATCTTGCGGCTGAGGATGCAGGTCAACACGGGGGCGGCAATAGAGTTGGCGTAGGGATCGAGGAAGAGCTTCTTGTTTTGGATGAGAGCCAGCGTCAGCTCCATGGACTGGCGAAGGATGAAGACATCGTCGAGGCGGTGGGTGACTTGGTTCGCGACGAAGTTGATAAAGTAGGGGATCAGCTGGTGCAGACCGGGGTCGTCGCGGACGGAGGCAAGAGCGGCCTGGCGGAGACGCCCAACTTCCTCGTCTGGATTGTCGTCGAGGATGGCGTTCTGGACCTTTTCGAAGTAGAGGATGAGTTCCTTAGAAACAACGTGCTTGACGGCGGGTCGGAAAGAGATGGAGTCGTTGCCGGCAAGGGCGGCCAGGGCGGGGTTAGCACCGGGGCCCTTGGGGACGAGTTCTTGCGACCGGGATTCGGCTGTCGTAGGGTTCTGGGGGATGGATGGTTGTACGCCTTCGATTGCGAGCCAGTGTGCTGACGATACAAGTTTAGCTGGAGTAGACAGACAAAAGAGAAGGAAGGCGCACCTGTGAAGCTCATGTCGCGCGGCACCTTGGGCAGGGGCGCGTTGATGAGCTTCTCGAAATCGACCTCCTCGTCCTCGATGTAGAACAGCGGTTGGCCAGGGCCGAGGCTAGCCTCGCCGAATCGCAGCGGACGCGTCGAGTCGTATCCGTACAAAGGCTCGATGTTAAGAACTTTGAGGGCGGTACTGATGTCGTTGACGGTCAGAGTGGTGCGGCGAGCAGCGCGCATGAAGCGCAGGGCCTCGACGAGGACCTGGCCGATTCGGTACTCGACATCCTGGGTGAGGCAGCGCAGAGCTTCGTCGTTGAGGTTCGGGATGCCGACGGACTCGGCGACGTCTTTGACGTTGTCGGGATTCCACAGGAGCTTTGGCGCGTCTTGGGCCGCCATCGCGTCGCTTGTTTGGGGGTGGTTCGACGGGTGGTGAGGTTGCGACGAGTCGCCGTTCGAGGTGCGGGATTGAAGTTGGACGCGAGGCTGAAAAGTTGGGGTACCTTCACTGACGAGGTGTGGTGGAGACCCCTAGCTGCGGAAGCTACAGCGGACGGGGTACCCTACACTTGACGGGAAAGTACCTGACGGGGTCGCACTTGCCCATGGAAAGTTCCTGGATTTAGTGGGTTTAATTGACGACGTGGACTAAGCTTTGACAGCGACAAGCTCATGCTGTCAATACAGCTCTGTGTCACCTTTCAAATAAAAGATTCTGATTCATCAATGGGTCTCCTAGCGAGCATGAATGCCGTCGTGTTTCTTTGCTCGACATTGGGTGTCGCGCGCCATGTCAGATGGACAACAAGGTCGGGCATCCGTACACTTGCCGTCGACACCCTCGGCAATGGGCCCGAGGCCCAGGTTTCTCACACGCTGCTCTCTCATTTGAAGATGTGATCGAATTTGTCATGATGCTGCTTCATTCAATCCACATTGGGGAGATTGAATGATATTGCGAGAGCATTAGATCAGCCTCCATAGCAGAGCACCCACTGCATGGCATTCATGGAGGCTTGCGCACCGAACAAGAAATGACTTAAAAGTCGAACGACAGCAGCTTGAAATCACGCGAAAAGAACGGTTGGGTGGAACAACTCCAAGGGAGTCTTTGCTATGCCAAAAAGAGTAACAGAAGGTCAAATTGGCGCCAAGTGAATGAAGGGCGTGGCTGGGCTTGCCGAGCCTCGACTGCGCAAACCACTTCATGGAGTGTCTGTACTCGGCTGAGACCGTTTAACCAGACACGAAGCGTCTGCAAGAAACATGGCCAATGATAACCGAACTTGTATGACAAGGCACAACCTATACCTGACCAAGAGAACAGGCTGTGATGGCTAGATATTATAAGGATCTCGGCCCCGTGGATCGTGATGTGGTCTGGGTCTCTGGGTTCAACCATCAAGATAATTCACCAGCTCTTCCTCTCATCGTCTTCGGTCATGGGCGTTACTTCTTTAGTTACCAGGGCCGGTCCCAGTAATCCCAAAGGAAACAAAAAACACCCCGAAGGGAGCTGGCAACGGTCTCCCTTCGAACGCCAAACCAGCAGGTCAGTTCGAGCCCAGCTATATCACATGGTTGCTTCTTAGAAATACCGCCTTATATGGTGCCATACGCGATGGGACATCTGATCCAGAAGAGCTTCCTCCTATCCCGGTCGAGTGGATCATCGCCCCGAGCAGCAACAGCAGCGTGTCGGACGGCCAATGCCCATCTATGGGCGAGATCATCAACTCCTTCGTTATATCGGATGTCGTGTCTGGAGTCATCGCGGTAATCATCTGCTGCAGACCAATTCTCAAGAAGATCACATGCGGATTCTTGGGCAAACTCCCTGACAAACCCTCACGACGTTGCAGCTCCGTGTGGTATTCATGGTTGGTGGGCTTCTCGATGACGTTTCTCGGGAATCTCTTCGCAAGTCTCGTAGTGGTCAATACCGAGGGATACGATCATCTGTCTTTCGCAATCATCTTTGCCCTGTATTCTTCCCGTTCGCGTATGAACATGGTTCTGGTGACTTTCTTCCGGGTCTTTGTTATTGTACGAACCAGCGACTGGTCCACTTACAAGCCAGTTGACAAAGGAAAGGAGAAGGAGCAAAGCACAGAGCCCTCTAGCGCTGTGCTCACGAATGCTGATGATGCTTGTGACGGAAGGTCCTCTGAGACTCAGACGACTGAAACGGACGCAACGGAGCCCTTGGAGAAGGAATATGTCTAGCTCGACTCTTACTGTAGTACGGTCGTGGCAGAGATGATACTCCACCTTATCTCTGCTGTGTTCATAGGGTTTACTTAGGATCGCTTTCCCAATTCAATCATCAAGAAACATATGGAGGGTAATGTGTTCTTCATGGCATTCGCGCCTGCCTTGCTGTTCGGCACCGCCTTCTTCGCTATACCGTTACATTGGAGAAGAGACAGACGTGTGGACGACAGGTGGTCAAGGGGATTGGCTGGAGTCGTGCTTTTTGGTGCCGCGTATGCAGCACCTTGGGTATACTGGTGCTCCTTCTTGAAGCTTCCTGGGTCATTGTGAGTACTCGATTCACACTGATTAAGCATGCAAATTATTTTAGGGTATGTGAGCTGATGTTACCCTAGATGGTGCCCACCCAAGCTTCCGCTACAGACAAGCATCTGGATCGCTTTTTCTCTCATCGGTTGGTGTCTACATTGTTTAATGCCCATTGCTGGAGTGAATGCTAACAGAATCTAGGAAATGCCCTTGCACGGTGATGCCCGACCTCCACCGACCAAAGGAACGGTAGCTTGAGGCGGTCACTGCAGAAACTTGACAGTGTCTCGTTGACAACGCAGAATGCTGAAGAATAGAAGAAGTAAAAAGCTGTAAGGCTTCGGGTATCTTATCTGAATGGTTTCAAAACACATGGCCACGATTATATACGTCTATACCCTCCGCTCTCCATGTGCTGTGTTCAACCCTTCTTCGCGACTCCTTGACCTCGACCCAACCAAGTCATCCATACTAGCCCCTTTATCCTCGCCCTGCCCAACCTTCTCGTGCACATGCAGCCTTTCCAGACCCATAATGGTCCAGACCACAACCCCTAGGATCGCAAACTCCATCAAGACAGTCATGCCAAGATATGTCGCCGTATCCCCCTTCACGGCGCTGAACTTCTCATCTCCAGTACTGACATACGCAATCGTATACGCGATACGGACGACCATGAAGGGGAAAGATGCGCCGAAGCCGATCATGGACCTCTTCTCGCCTTCGGGGACCAGTTTCCACTTCTGAGCCAACCAGACGTAAAGGAGGACACCCCAGAAGTAGAGCGCGGCAAAGAGGCCCACCCCGGCTTTGGTCAACGACCCGGGCGCCATGGCGTTCTCCGTCTTCTTGCTGGCGACAACGTAGTCGGCGATGGATATAGCGACGCCAGCCCAGCAGATGAGCTCCGGAATGCGGAAGTGCCACGGCGTGAGGACCTGTACGAAATGGTTTCTGAAAGAAGCACCAAGTTAGCATGCGAAGGTCGTATCAACCAAAGATGGACGGGCAACTTACACTCTCTTTAAGAGATCCAGCAACACAAACGTAAGAAGCACAAGTCCCAAAGATTCGCAGACAAAAATGGTCGCCCAGAGGCCCCTCGAGTCATTGAACATGGTGCCTAGCATGCAGCCCGCGCCGACGATGCGTATTGTCGAGATGAAGGAGACGCCGAACCAGCCCATTCTCTTTTGGAGCTTGAAGAGAACACCAAAGACGAGGAAGACGGAAAAGACGGCGATCTGGGCGATGGCGACGCCGTCGCGGAAGCGGAATGCGCGCTCTGCCATTGTGTGGGACTCTGGTGTAAGTGAAGAACCGTCCGTCTATGTATCTCTAGGGTATCGAGGATGGTGTTTCTGTATGTGTCGGTGCTTTAATATTCCAACCAGTCCTAGCACTTTCATCATAAAATATAGCCAGGAGCAAAATCATTCTTTTCAAGCTGTTTACAGACCGATTGCCTGGACTGGAGTCCTCCCATCACTGCCACTCGGAGGGGCAGATCGGGGTGTGGACCCCTTGATCCTTCGGCGCCCGGAGGCAGCTGGGGCCCCACAGAATTGGGATTAAGCGAGTGCGAACGCCGGGGGTTCGGGTGCGAGAGCGTGTATCTCGTCCAATGAGACCGCCGTGCGGGATCAGTCCGATAGCAGATTGAATTCTACACCTTAGCCTTGCTGACGAGATCTGCGTGGCTGTTGTTGTACTAAGTCTTGGACCAGTAGGCATGAGCAAGTCCCGTAAGATTGGGTGCGTTGTGATGTTGCCAAGTCCTACTTTAGGCGCCGAAGTCCCACTAGCTAGCAATGGCTGCGGTGATGATTTAACTGATCGAGAACAGTAGGAGGCAACATGAAAACCTCGAATTCTTGATGGAGATACGATGAATAGTTTAGCTAAAAGGGGAATAGAAAACGCGACAGCCCATTCAGACTGGATGGCAGGGTTTGGTACCCAAGAGGAATGCCTCCCTAAAGTCTATTCTCTTGTCATCGCAAGTTTGAGATGAACCTCCGTTCGAACGAAATCACTTACATCACGAATCGGACAAACAGACAGTTAACGTAACTCCCAGCTGAATTAACCATACGATGCGTAACAAAGTGTGGCAGTGGACCCTGAGATCACTGTCGACATGCTCTGCCCCGAATGCCAAGCCGAGGCGACCACGCTCTGCATACTCAACTCAGCTAATGCTTTAGCACTTTAAGCTTGTTGCCTGCCGAACCCGTCACAGCCACACTCATAACGTTTTGCGGGTTTGATTCTTACCTGTCATTGGTAACTACAGCTCTTCGCACTCGCTTAACTCCTATAAAGCTGACAATGCTTATGGACGGCGAGAACCCGCCGAATACTTGCCCAACACAGCTCAAAGCCGCACACGGCAACCCCGGCACCTGCGCCGGACCCGAACAAGGCCCCACACCACCAGCATTTCGGAGGACCGAAGAATCTTTTTCGTCTCGGTCCTCGGTGCCAATCCTACTATGGGTGTTGGAATTTTCGAGAAACCGGGATATGCCTTTCGTCTGAGACTGATTGAAGAGACCTTACTTATCATAGCGAATCAAGAACACTGGCTACACTGGCTTTTTTCTTTCGTCCCCATTCACCCTAATGGCTTGCCCCGCATTCACTTCTCGCCGACGCATGCAACCACGAAATGAAGACATCCAGCCCCGCCATGCCCTGCCCTACCCACCCACAACACCGTCCAACCTTTATATTCCTCTTTTCCACTTCGATCTTCAACAATCACTGGTTTCGTGGTGTAGTTGGTTATCACGTCAGTCTAACACACTGAAGGTCTCCGGTTCAAGTCCGGGCGAAATCATCATTCGGGCGAATGGTTTAGTGGTATAATACTCGCTTAGCATGTGAGTGGTCCAGGGTTCGATTCCCTGTTCGTCCAAACTTTTTGCTCTTGAGTGTGAAGGAGGCTTCTTTAAGCTGTGTTCTCCCTTTTGACTTTTGGGAGAAGTCTTCAAACGGTTGGATCGCTGCGGTGTAGCATTTTTTGCCCGGGTGGACCTACTGCAGTATCCCCGAAAACGCCGGTCAGCAGGCCCCACTCCCGCCCGGCCTCACCTAACCCTCTTCAGCGTTCGCGGGGGGAGGTCGTTTCCTTCTCTCTTCCCTTTGGAACGATGTCAACGAATTTCGGTATGGACTTTGAGATTTTACTTCGCAGAGTTATATAAAAGTTTCGCCACCAAAGACGTTGAATAACGAAACCCTTGCCATCATGCTATGCGATGTATGGGAACCCGCCGACGTCTGGACCGGCATCTCCGACCAGAACCGTAGAAAGAAGCTGCAAAACAAACTAAATCAGCGTGCTTATCGTCAGTAAGTCCCAGGGCCTCGTCACTTTCATAAGCCTTACTCCAAAGCAGGTAGAAGAAGGAAACAACCCACCGTAGACTGCGATGGTCAGCACTCGTCGCTGGCAGCTCCGGGCCAAGACAGCATCCTAGCGACCCTCCTCGACGGATGTGCTCTTATCAAATGCCCCCAAAGACTTTCTCTTGCCCAAAGCCGCGTCAAAGAAGTGTATGAGGGCTACTCGCTCCACGCGCCGCGGCCGTCGGCACTGCACGTCCTCATCCGCCTGCGCGTCCTCGCAGCCCTAGCCCACAACGCCGCCGCCATGGGGTTTCCCCCACAAGGCCTCTGCCGCGATGACTTCGTTTCTCCATATAACCTGAGCGGACCTCTGGAGCTAGAGAACTTTGATTTGACGACACCCGGCCGCGAGAGCCTTCGTCCGACGAACCTGCAGAGGACAGTCCTCCACCACCCCTGGATCGACCTCTTCCCCTTCCCAGTCTTCCGCGATAACGTGCTGCTTGGGATGGACTCTGGCTTATTGGACGACGATCAGCTGTGTGCCGATATTCTCGAGGTGAAGGATGAAGACTTGGCTGGCAGGCCGTCACTCATCGTCTGGGGTCAGTCGTGGAATTGTATGGCGTGGGAAGCCAATGAGGCCTTCTTTCGGAAATGGGGGTTCTTGACGCGGGGGTGCCCTGAGATGCTGGAGGCGACTAATTACTGGAGATCTAGGCGAGGGGAAAGAAGGATCATTTATGAAGTACGACGTATAAGTTTTCATAGGCCGAAGGTGAATATCCCGAGCGAGTGAATAATGCAACCGCAAATGCAGTCTTTGATATCCTTAACTTATTCAAGGCCGAGCCGTAGTAACAAGCCGGCCAAGCTGCGGCGAGTAAGTTTTATGACCTCTCAAGGTTCTCTTAGGATATACCTCGTCCTACAGATGGGACACCCATGTCCCGGGATGTCAGCAACCTTCCTTATCTCCAGATGCGGGACGGCGCTAATGCACTTGGATTATTTTGTGGACCTGACCCGGAGCTGGCCCCGGGCATCGATCAGTGCTCACGGCATCTGGGTGGAATGTCTAGATGCCGTCATGTTTCGTACCGAGACCGAGTCAACGACCACGGAGACCGGAATGAGGATTCACAGTCCACGTATAAATACGAGCCGCCGGATGAACCCATCTATCCTCGAGCTTCGTCTTGCACACAGTCACCTCTCAAAGTCTCCTCATCTTTGTAAACAAACTTCAAGACTACACTCGAAATCTCGCCATGGCGGAACCATCGATGAAATACGTCCGGTAAGTAATTCCACAACCTTTGCCGTGAGAAGGTCACTAAAAGGCCATCTCCGTCCAGCGTCGGCAAGTCCGGCCTCAAAGTCTCCCAGATTATCCTCGGCTGCATGAGCTTCGGCGACAAGAACTGGCAACCATGGCTCCTCGACCAGGCCGAGGCCCTCCCCATCCTCAAGTACGCCTTCGACCGGGGCATCAACACCTGGGACGTCGCCGACACCTACTCGAACGGCCGCTCCGAGGAGATCGTCGGCGCCGCCATCCGGGAGTACAACATCCCGCGCTCGAAGCTCGTCGTCATGTCCAAGTGCTTCCAGTTTGTCGACGACGAGCGGGGCCCCATCGATCCGGCCAACCTGACCAGCAACGACGGCCCGCGCGTCAACCAGGTCGGGTTGTCGCGGAAGCATATTCTTGACGCTGTGGACCGCAGCGTCGAGAGGCTGGGGACGTATATCGACGTGCTGCAGATCCATCGCATGGACCGCGATGTACCGCCGGAGGAGATCATGAAGGCGCTGAATGACGTTATGGAGAGCGGGAAAGTGCGGTACATTGGTGCTAGTTCGGTCAGTCTTCACATCCTTACCTACCTGGACAGTCTCCCACCGCCCTTCGTGATAATCGCTGACTAGCAGATGTACAGATGGCAGCCTGGGAGTTCCAGATGCTCCAGAACGTCGCGAAGCAGAACGGCTGGCACCAGTTCATCTCGATGCAGGGCCTCTACAACCTCCTCTACCGCGAAGAGGAGCGCGAGATGAACCCGTACTGCAACGCCGCCAGCGTTGGCCTCTTCCCGTGGTCGCCCCTCGCGGCCGGCGTCCTCGCGCACCCGTGGACCGACCGCTCCGATTCCCGGGAGCAGAAGGATCCGTTTCTCCAGATGCTCTTCCGCGGCGTCGAGAACGGCGCCGACAAGGCGATTGTTGGGCGGGTGGAGGAGCTCGCGGCCAGGAAGGGGGTCGCGATGGCCCAGGTCGCGCAGGCATGGCTGATTTCGAAAGGGTGCATGCCGATTTGCGGGCTGGAGACGCGGGAGAGGATTGACCAGGCGCTTGGGGCTTTGGAGGTGAAGTTGAGCGAGGAGGAGGTGCAGTATCTTGAGGAGATGTATGTTCCGAAATTGCCCATGCCGTTTTAGAAGTGGATGAGGTCTGGCGCGGTAGGCTGTGGCTTGGGATAAGCACTGGCTTAGCTAGATCTGATCGATTGTTGTTCTTTGAGCGAGATCGACTTGGCACTTGAAGAATAGACCAAATAAACACCATGGCGAAATTTCACAGCCGCCACAAATACAGGAGGGCCAGGTCCCGTCGGCCCATATGTCTTGGGAACGTATATGTTCATGCTTGAAGATCAGGGGTCACTCATTGCCGAATGCACGATCAACTGAAAAAAGAAACAACCCTCCCAGCTACCAGGAAGATCATTTGGCGCTACGTCTAGCGCGGCCAAGGAAGTGACACACTTCTCCAAATGCAGCCGACCATTCGCCCGCTTAGATACGATCCCGTCCCAAAGCATTGAGTCGATGACAGTCTGGAACCTAGGCTACGGTTGGACCAACAGCAGCTCCCGGGCTGCAAATGGCTGATGGGAAGATGACCTTCTGACGCCATGGCGTCGACCAGTAGCCCGCCTGCTCACTGGAGATGTTAGGTGGTAGCCATCGTTGCGGTCGCATTTCAGCCGCACGATGCCATCGCGACCCTCATAAACTGACGCGGAGCTCGACCTTTTATCGTCGATTACACTGAGTTGGAACCTTGAGAGACTTTCAGAGCCTGTGACAGCCGAGACGAGCCATTTCACAACGATGGAGAGTTTGAGTGCGTGGGGCGGGGCCGATGACCGGGTCGCACCGGCGCAGGTATCGGCGGATCGGAACGGCGATGCGCCGTCTGAGTACCCGGCGGGACGAGACGACGTGCCACGAACGAGCATAGCGTCTTTCACGGAGCAGGACGAGGTGGAATCTACGCATGTGCCGAGCACCTCCGCGTCGTCTGTTGAGCTCAGCATAGACTCGGACATGAGCGACGCCGACTCGGCTCTGGGGATTGATGGAGGGCGGGCTTCGTCGTCTGCGTCGGTCGCTTCGAGTCTTTACCGCTTCGTCGAGGAGTTTGGTCGGACGTATCATAGGTACAAGGAAGGGAGTAAGTGTCGTTCGATCTTGTCGATGTGGGATTGCCCGCTGACGTTGAGCAGAGTACTTCCTCCCGAACGATGAGGTATGGCAAGTTTTAGTTTAGAAGACGTCTATCACGCCGACTTCTGACATGCGAAATCCTGCAGCAAGAGCAAGGCCGTTTAGATCTGCAACACGCCATCGCACTCCGCATTCTCGACGGTCAACTCGGGCTGGCGCCCGTGGACAAGCCCCACCGGGTGCTCGACATCGGCACGGGGACGGGCATCTGGGCCATCGAGTTCGCCGACCAGAACCCCGAGTCGGAGGTGCTCGGGAGCGACCTGAGCCCCATCCAGCCCGAGTACGTGCCCGCGAACTGCCGCTTTGAGATCGACGACGCCGAGGACGAGTGGATGTACGGGCAAAAGTTCGACTACGTCCACGGCCGGTACATGTGCACGTCCATATTTGACTTTCCCAAGCTGTTCGGCCAGATCTATGACAGCCTCAACCCCGGGGGCTGGGTCGAGTTTCAGGAGACGGTGATCGACTTCCGGGCTGTCGACGGGAGTCTGGAGGGCACGGCGCTGCGGCGGTGGAATGACCATCTGCTCGAGGGCATCCGTCGGGCCGGGCGCGATGCGTTGTCGCCGTTTGGGTTCGCGGCGAAGATGACTGCCGCGGGGTTCACGAACGTCCAGCAGAGGAAGTTCGCAGTGCCGTCTACGCCGTGGGCCCGGGGGCGGAACCAGAAGATTCTCGGCGCGATGCAGATGACCAACAATCTCGAGGGCGTTCAGGGCATCACGATGAAGATCTTCACGCAGGTGCTAGGTTGGACTCGAGAGGAAGCTGAACTGCTGCTAGTCGACGTGCGAAGGGATATGGCGGATAGGAATATCCACGCATATCTCACGATGTGAGTTTTTCTTTCAGATTACCTTGCGGTAACGAGCTGACCATTTGAAGTATGGCTGTCTGGGGCCAAAAGCCGCACGAAGGGGAAGAGAATGCCGCCATGTCGTGATTTGAGTAGCCCGGAAGAATGTTTCAACCGTTGTGTACATCCAGCACGGAGTCTGAAGTTACGCTTTCGTCGCATCTTGTTGGTGTTGAACTCCACCAATTGCGGAGTTCATCTTGTTCGTTCTCGGGTCACGACCTACGTTGTGATAGCTGTCATCCCAAGAGTATCTAGATAGATGTATGCACGACACGAACCATGTCCGACTGAATTTTAACAAAGCGCAGGAACGCTGAGAGGGAGCAAGTGACATGATCCCGCAATAACGGCGGCAACATTACACTGCGCAATGCATGCGAACCGCGGCACGACCCGGTGCGGCTTGTAACCGCTTCCTTTGCTTAGAAAAGAGAAGAAAGATGCCGAGGCCGTTGTGCTAAAGATCCACACCTGATGACGGCCTTGAAACCGATAATGATGGTCTCCCCGTGCCAAGTGTGCCGATGGATCGGCGAATGCGTGCCGGGAGCGGCATCAAATCCGCGGGGGAACGGAACACGGGCTCCTTTTCGAAGAATTTCTAGGCCACAGATCGTCGGCGTTATGACGAGCCGCCCCATCGGCTTTAATCCTCGTGTTCCTCTCCCAGTTCCCTCTTCTGGACCCCCCCTCCGAAACCCCCCACTCGCTCTCGCCGGTCCATCCACTCGGCGTCCTCCTCCCGCCCCCAGGTCCCTGGCCCTCCGGATGGCAGATTGCTGGTTACGGCAAGGCCATGGCAGGGCATGGAAGCAGCCGGAGAGTTTAATCGTCCGCATGCTTTGTAAAACGGGGTGTGGAGTTCGCCCTGGCAACCCGCTGTGATGCCGCATTGATGACTGAAGAAATTTTGCAAACCCGCGCTTGTGTTGTTTCTGGAATCGGTGGAGACCTACTGGCTGATGAGCGAGTCAATCATGCTCCATGATCCGACACATGTCACTGTCTCTGCCCATCTGGACCACGGAGAGACGCCAAGCGGGAAAAGGAAAACACATCGGTGTGACGTCAAGCTGACCAATTGCATGGCGGGGTGAAGCTCTCTTCCATGCCATGCCACTCTTACCAACACCTTAGAAGCTCCCCTGACGTTGGTGGGGTAAGCTGGAGAGCGCGGAATTCTACCGTGATGGCCAGACCACCATTCGAAACTGGATCGATGATTACGGGGGCGGGGAATGCGAGTACAAAAGAGCTTGACACCCCGCCATGGAGGACATCTAGCTATTCTAATAATCCAGCAATATCTACTCTCTTACGCTTTGATACCCAACGATACCCCTATACACTCAACTCCATTATTTCAATCCTCTCAAACAAACCA